GGGAGCGCAGGCCGGGCCGGAGAAAACCCGGGAAGTGGGATGGGGGAAGGGGAAAGGTGGTAACTGGATCCCCGCAGCCGCGCCGCCTGCGGGCCCTCACTTTTGAGGGTATTCGGGGTTATTGCCCGTGAGGCCTCGGCTGTCCTTGCCTCGGGGAGGGAGCGGGAGGCCTTCCTTAGGTACGGATGAAAGGAGAAGGAAGGGCATTGAGTTACTCCCTCTTAGCGGGGTGATGGGAGGCGGGGGGGGGGCAAGACGAGGGGATTTCCACTGGAGGTAGGAAATTGATTCCAAATTTGAGCATCCCACTTTTCCCCCCAATTCCTGGGCCTCCTTATTTAACGTAAAGCTTTCTTTTTTTTAAATGCCTGGCTCCCCCCCCCCAAATACAAGTTCTTTGGTGTATTAAATACTTCTTTTTAAACTAGGAGGATATAATGGAATGTAGGAGCAGCGTATTTCAAAGTATTGTTTACCACTTACAGGTCAGAAAGTCTCTTCTAAGACAGTACCTCTGTGTGACTGTGTGGTGGGTGCTATGAAACTTCATTATGATGTCCTTCATAGTTAACTTGGTTCTTTCAGAAATATGCCTGGAAAACAAGGGATTTCACCAAGATACATAGCTATCTCTCGTTATTGAGTAGGTTTATAAAATAATCAAGATGGTCTAGTAATTTGACCCCATGATGAAAGTATTACTACAGTTTTTCGTACCCAAATCGTCAATGCCAGATTATATGCTCTAAATTAACAAAAAATCTGGAAAAATTTCATGCCATTATTGAATAAATTATACTATGTTTTATAGTTGGCACTTTGATATCTGTAATGATTTGTGAAACTTTTAAGTATTTCAAAGAATGAGTGATGACATAAATCTAGTAGCATTTAATCTATGTTATGCCACTGAGTTTACAATGATTATCTGTCTTTCCAAGTAGACACTGAATTATTTAAAATTTAACAATGACAAACATTAGATCTAGTGAACATACTAATATATAAATAATCTGTTTTACAGAGCATGTGTATGGACTCTGATCTCTGTATGTGTTCACTTGCCAAATCTGAATGGAAGGATGACTTTGTGTTTTTGTGGTACAATGCAGAAATACAGCACAAATACTTATATAAAATTCATAGTAGCAGGTGATTTTGACTTTTTGTTTAATAAGTAAAAACATGCTAGGATAGTTGATATATTTTCCTAATGAAAGATGGCAGCTATTGTCTTCAGCCAAACCCTAACCAACCTCTTCTATAAGGTTGTTCAAGCCTGAAACTTAGTTGTAATGTTTTATATTCTTTAAAAGTGATAACTTACTGCTCTCATAATCTATGTGGACTTGGTTTATGTTAGGTAACTTTTCACTACATGTTATTATTAAATTACCAGAAATTCCTCTTTACTGTAGAAATACATAGTATTGTTCTTTAAGTGTCACAGTGTTTCAGAAGAAGCAAACAGGAAATACAAACAGTACTTATGTTATGGGAACAGTACCTTTATAAATTTGGAGTAAACAACTTCCAGGAAAGTTAAGTTATGAAAACTTAGAAAAGGGCTATAATGTAGCTTTGTCATAAACATAAACCAATAATAGCTCTATTATAACCAATATTTTTTCATTGATATTTCTAGTAGACTCAGTTGTGTAAATAGATTGCTATTTTCAGTTTATTGAAGGATGTGTAGTGTTCATGTGTTTGTTTTTTTTTTTGTCGGTCATGGGCCTTGAACTCTGGGCTTGGGCTGTCCCTCAGCTCTTCAGCTCAAGGCGAGCACTCTACCACTTGAGCTACAGCACCACTTCCAGTTTTCTAGTGGTTTATTGGAGATAGTAGTCTCACGGTCTTTCCTGCCCGGGCTGGCTTTGAACCGCGATCCTCAGATCTCAGCCTCCTGAGTAGCTAGGATTACAGGCGTGAGCCACCGGTGCCCGGCTTCATGTGTTTCTTTAAATTTAAATTTTTCTTTTCTTTGGAGATACTGGGGTTTGAACTAAGCATCTTAATTTTGTTAGGCAGGCACTTTATTGCTTGAAACACAGCTCTAGCTCCATGTCTTTCTTTCTTTCTTTCTTTCTTTCTTTCTTTCTTTCTTTCTTTCTTTCTTTCTTTCTTTCTTTCTTTCTTTCTTTCTTTCTTCCTTCCCTCCCTCCCTCCCTCCCTCCCTCCCTTCCTTCCTTCCTTTCTGTCTTTCTATGCTGGTATGGGCCTTAAATTCCCAGCCTTAGAATTTTCCAAGGCTGGCCCTCTACCACTTGAGCCACACCTTCACTTCTGGCTTTACTGGTTAATTGGAGGTAAGAATCTCTGATTTATTTATATAGGATTGCTTTGAACTGGAATTCTCAGATCTCAGCCACCTAAAGTAGCCAGGATTATAGGTGTGAGTCACCAGTGTCTGGCTTTCCTATTTATTTTATTTTATTTTTTTTGCCGGTCTTGGGGCTTGAACTCAGAGCCTGAGCACTGCCCTTGAACTGATTTTGCTCAAAGCTAGCACTCTACCACTTGAGCCACAGCACCGTTTCTGGCTTTTTCTGCATATGTGGTACTGAGGAATTGAACCCAGTGTTTCATGCATGTTACGCAAGCACTCTACCACATTCCCAGCCCCAGAGATACTTTTATTATTTTTTTCCCAGGGATACTTTTAATTATTTAAAAATAATTGATAGAGCGCTAGCCTTGAGCTGAAGAGCTGAGGGACAGCGCCCAGGTCCAGAGTTCAGGCCCACGACCAGAACCCCCTCCCCCCCCAAAAAAAGAAATGTACTCATTACCTTGCTCATGTAACTGTAACCCCTTTGTACAGTATTTTCACAATAGAAAACTTCATTAATAAAAAATTCCAAGTTAAAAAAAAATAATTGAAAGCCAGGTACCAGTGGCTCAGACCTATAAAATTAGATACGAAGGAAGCTGAGATCTGAGGATCTTGGTTTGAAGCCACCCAGGGCAGGAAAGTCCATGAGACTTTTATCTCCAATTTCCCAAAAGCCAAATTTGGAGCTGTGGTTCAAGTAGTAGAGCATTAACCTTGAGCACAAAGTTCAGGGCCAACACCAGGCCCTAATTAAGACTGGTACCAAAAAGAAAATTGAGTCTAGTTTGTATTATTGATTAAAGGATTTGAGCACAACCTAATTTGATGTTAGTTTAAACTCATTAAGTAGTACCTGTAAAGGTTTATTGAACTTGTGTTTTTTTGTGCCTAGCTTCTATTCTTTTTTTTTTTTTGTTGTTGTTGTTGTTGCTAGTCCTGGAACTTGAACTCAAGGCCTGAGCTTAGGCTCAAGGCTAGTGCTCTATTGCTTTGAGCCACTGCTCCATTTCTGACTTTATTTTTTTTTTAATAGTTCATTGGAGATAAAGAATTGCACTACTTATCTACCTGGGCTGACTTGAAAGCACCATTCTCAGATCAGATCTCAGCCTCCTGAGTAGTTGTATAAGTAGTCATTGCCCGTCTTCTAATTTGTTTTATTTATTTATTTATTTTTTGCCAGTCCTGGGCCTTGAACTCAGGGCCTGGGCTCTGTTGTTGAGCCTGTCTGTATCCTTTGAGCCACAGCACCACTTCCAGCTTTTTCTGTTTATATGGTACTAAGGAATCAAACCCAGGGCCTCATCCATGCTAGGCAAGCACTATACCACTAAGTCACATTCCCAGCCTGAGCTTTTTTTGGGGGGAAAGAAGGGGTCAGTTACAAGGCTTGAACTCAGGGCCTAAGTGCTGTTCCTGAACTTTTTTGCTCAAGGCTAATGCTCTACCCACTTTGAGCCACAGTGCCACTCATTTTTTAAAATTAATTTGTTTATTGTTAGTATAGAGGTGATGTACAGAGGGATTACAATTACATGAGTCCGGTGTTCATTATTTTTAAAGAAACACTGAGAAGATTTTAACATTTTCATACTAGTCAGCCCATTTCCCTAGTGAAGTAAACCATGTGTAAGTATGTACATAGGGCTCACTTAGCCACTATTTTCCTGTTTTCTTCTTCCTTAGAAGTAACCACTACACTGAAACTAGTAGTAGTAATTTGACTTTGTAGTCCCATTGTGTATATATAAATAATACATTATATATTAATATTTATTATATAGCTATTATATACTATACACTAAATAATTATATGGTATATAGTATATATATGTATAGTATATATGTACACATATGTAAGCATGTTTATGTACAGTATATACTTTTTTGCCAGTCCTGGGGCTTGAACTCAGGGCCTGTGCACTGTCCCTGAGCTTCTTTTGCTCAAGGCATGCTAAGCAAGCACTTTACCACTAAGGCACATTCTCAATCCAAACATTACATTTTCTTGGTACTAGTCTGAGGGTTTGAAGTTGAGGCCTAGGTGTCCCTTAGCTTTTTCATTTAAGGCTAGCTTTGTACCACTTGAATTATAGCCCCACATCTGCCCTAGGACTAGCAAAAAAACCCTGCTCAGCTGGCAATCACCATCCTCATCTCTGCCTTTTCAGAAACTGGGCTTACAGGTATGAGCCACCCCACCCACCTATTTTCTTTATTCAGTCATCCATTGTAGGGCATCTGAACTATTTCTATAATTTGACTATGGTGAATGCTGCAGCATTGGGCAAGGATATATGTCTTTACTGTGTCCTAAGTTAGTAAATCTTTTTTGGTGGGACGGGGGCCGGTCATGGGGCCTGAACTCTGGGCCTGGGCGCTGTCCCTCCCTCTTCAGCTCAAGGGTAGCACTCTACCACTTGAGCCACAGTGCCACTTCTGGTTTTCTGGTGGTTT